GACTCCCTTGTGTAGACATCCAAAGCTCGGAGGTGGTTTCTGGGCACCGCCACCTTGGATAACTTGTGACACTAAATTATTCCTCTTCACATTGAGCTACTACATAAAATGTTATGTAGGAAGGTGAGGACGGAGGAGCTGAACCAGCACAGACAGTAATCAGGCATTCCCACAAGAGGAGAGGGCTACAACAAGGAGAGAGGGAGCTATGCTAGGAAAATGTACACTTTCTAGAGCTCAGAAGCACATTGCAAGTCAATAAAATTTGCTTATCAAAAGGAAAAACACTGCAAATAAGCATTTGAAATGCTTGTTTTTTCCCTGTGCTTTTATGTGCAATTTCTCGTGAGAGGTTAGCTACAAAGCTGGTCGCTTTCATTGTTGTGAAAGTATGACTGAGATTTTTTTTGTCACAACACTGAGGCATATAGAGCTTTCTTTTTGTGGCATTTAATAACCATTTTTGTTAATTTAGTTGAGATGGGGTGAAAGGGGTTAAAAATTATCACCAACTGTATTATTCTTTGCTGCTGCCGCTTATTTTCAATAGGAACGAATTCATTAGTTAATTTCCTCTCCCCTGCCTTTGTTGTAAGAGGAAGGGGAGGCAATGTAAGCATTGCGAAGTGATCGCTGTGATAACTAATCACAGTGATCACAAGACACAGAGCTAGTCTGATTGACACTGTACCTGAAGTGGATACCCTCTGCTCTCTAATGACAGTGGGAACAGCGGCTTCTGCGCGCGCACACACATACACACAGGCAGGAACAGGAGGATGTACAGGTACCGCTTACCTGAACAATGGGACAGTGGACCAGTCATATATGTATAGTGACTGGTCCGCAGATGGTTAAGAAAGGTATGACGCCGACACTTTAATTCATGCTTGTTTTACATAAGAAATTACAAGTCTACTTTATTTATTTTTTTTAACAGGTATGCAAGTCTACTTTATTTTTGATGTGTAACAATTTCAGGCGAGGAATTGAAATGACTTCATAATATCAGTAATTGTTTGAATTTGTTATGCTAAAACACTGAGAATGTGCTAACAGGAGTCACCTACCTTTATTACTGTTAATAGCACACATGAGGAGAAGGTTAATATGTTTGAACTCAGAGTCAAACGCTCATGTGACCTTGATACACAGAAAAGCACTTGAAAGCTGGACCAGTTTTCGAAGCCAAGAACGAACACATGAAGAGATTATTGTTGTTACACTGCAGAGAGCTGAAAATATGCATAGGCACCAGGACTCATTGCTTTAATTATACAACATGCCTTTGCAAATGCCTAAGAATAAAAGTCAGTGTCAAGCCAAGGCCAGACGGTGAATATACATAGACACATGAGATAAACTGAATTGCCATGATGGCATTTGTATGATGACACCATCCTCTAGCGTTTCATAAATCCCTGCCTTGCCTTCTGGGTTACATTCTCCAGAATCGGTACTGGAACCTTTTTATGCATGTAAGGATTAAATTGAATTGTTTAATATTGTAGCCTCTAAATGGGCTTTATAATCAAAGCTTGTTATTAAACAAGTCAGTTTAAATAAACACATTGAAGCCCTATTACACACCGATCAGCTATAACAAATTAACCATCCTCCTAATATTGAGTAGGTCCCCCTTTTGCTGCCAAAACCACCTGACCCCTTTGAGGAATGGACTCCACCAGACCTCTGAAGGTATGCTGAATCAGCTGGTGCCCTGAGCACTGGTCTTGACTTCCTGTTATAGAATTACTCCTTTCTCAAGCACAGTGCTATGCAGTCACCCTTGTGTGCTAGTAAGCTGTGTGCATCTCCACAAACACACAGCAAATCAAGCTACTTCCCTCCCCCCTGGCCCCTCCCCCCAAGCTAGTAGATGAACAGTTGTAGCAGTCTGCTTTGTCCCTTGTGATGTTGTACTGGACAGGGCGTTCAGGTGAAGCTGAGCTGAACTGAGAGACTTGGAAGCAGTTCTTTAAAAACATGATGACTAACTGTTTGGGCAAAAATATAAAGAAATGCTTTGCTGGGCAGTGTATATTTGTTTGATCTGGATTCATTAACCGAAAAAATGGTTGTGAGTTTAATACTACTTTAAGTCCTGTAAGTCCTCAAACCATTCTTGAACCATTTTTGCAGTGAGGCAGGGTGCATTTCCCTGCTGAAAGAGGCCACTGCCATCAGGAAATTCTGTGTCCATGATGGGGTTTACTTGGTTTCGCAACAATGTTTAGTCAAAGTAACATTCACACGAATGGCAGGAAGCAAGGTCTACTATGACATTACATGTCTTCAGCATCTTGGGATGCTATGACAAATCAGGTTTTTGAGACTTCACGCTGGGGTCAAGCAATTAGCCCTACCAGCAGTGACCCAGATGGCCAGAAAGCCCAGCCTTCATAATAAAAAGAACATTTAGAACATGTGGGAAGAGACGGGCAATTTCTAAATACTGCCAGGATATGTCAAAACCAACACCCTCATCCCAGGCTGCTGAAGATAAAGATATGTGCAGGTAACACTTGATGTAAAATACTTAGGTCCTTTCAATGCTTTTTCCTTACTCTTTCTGTTCCCCTGAGAGGTGTACCGGTATCTTCAAAAGGCTGCCAGTGCACATTTCCTGACTGATGACTGATTAAAGACATCTACAGATGTCCTCAAGCAGTGCTCCATGTAGTCATAGCAGAAACCATACCTGGAACACCTTTAAATGTAAAGGATAAATATTAGAGGTGCACCGAAATGAAAATTTCAAAACCAAAACGAAACTGAAATGAAAAAAAATGTCAGGCCGAAAATAACATGTTTTTTAATTTTAACTTGTCAAATTTTTTGAAAAATATTTTATTTTATGGACCCGCACTGCAGCGAACCACAACACTTGTGTCATGCATTGTGGGCCACTGCGGGGAAAAAAAGTGCAGGTCTGCTTTTTCTTGTTCTCATTGCTGTGTGTTAGAAGCCCATTCTTGATTAACTGGCTGCGTTAATATAACACACTTGAACATGCGAAATACTGCACATGTGTATGCAGTAACATACTGCAATGAAATGACACAGTGTGAAGAGAGCCTTAACAGTATGATCTGAACTGCTCGCCATGTAAAGTGTGGACTATTGGCGCATTGAGGTCCCTGCCCTGTAATAGAGCCAGTTATAGCTTCTTTTTTTTATGTATGGTTTTATTTTATTCTGGAGCATTTGTATTGTTGTTTTAGCAAATTTAAAAACAATGCTTTTTCTCTGTTTATGGTACTTTGCATACTTCTCCATTGTAGCATCTACATTTAGATGTAGACTAGAGCCACTGTACCATTTTGTCACAATACGATGTGGCCTTTTAATTTCTGGCCATATCCGTTTACACCAACCCCACCCGGCTTCTCCGGTGGCTCACAGAGGCAATGTCATTTCATTTCTCACAACTGGCCTGGCCAACTCCCAAGACCTCTAATATGTCTGTTAAATTCTGCAGTAGGCCCAGTTCATAACTCACTTGTCTCCTTTCCAGTCTGAGCAATGGTTAGGGACATTTTTTTTTATTGCGGTCAGGACTGGTTGTAGCTCCTCCCAGGCTAAAGTTCAAAATATGGGTGTTTCTGGAGGGGAGGTACAGAAAGCATTGATGCCCCCTGCCCCCTCTACATTCTGCAGCCCTTTCAGTGTCTCCTTTGCTCCCTTACATGTACATAAAACACCAACTTTACTGAGCCCAGATCTGCTATTTCAGAGGGAATAAACTCATCGATGTGATGGTTTCTGTTTTCTTATGAATTACAGCGGCTGCAGAATTCAAGTCTCTGGCCACGTGCATCGCTTGCATTGTATGGGAGTTACTTAATCTTGGCATGCCGGGTCTTTGCACTGAGCTGCTCAGTGTGGGTCAATGTACAAAAACCCCCCGCTGATTGGCAACTAGCCCCTTTTGTGCCTGGAGAGACTTACACAGTCTTCTCTGTCATATAAAGCCTGCAGATGGGCAATGTCTTTTTTAATGCCTTTACTTCCACTTTAATGATGCAGAACCACCATTCGGATTGAAATTGGCACTAAAAAATGACAGCTAGTAATTAAATTACTGTAACAATCTAATGGCCTACTGTTGCTTAGTCACTGTCCAATCACTGGCTAGGGGCAGGGAAGTGACCTAGATTTATTGTATAAGTGCAAAAGATAAACGCCAGGTCATCAGCCCTGCTATAGTGTCTGGCACAGCTGTGTAAATCTCAGTATTTCAACTGTGTATTTAGCGGTTTGCCTGGAGCTGAGCTTTTGAAAAATAAAAGGATATTACTATCCTCAAAGTTCCCTTTAAAAATGAGTTTTTATGTTATGGCAAGTTATTTGCATAAATAAGTACCCCTTATAAAATAAAAACTGCTTCCTCATCAAACCCAAGTGCCCTAAATAGAAGCTAAAGTGTAGTTTCAATGAGCAATCATTTTATATGTTATTTTACAGGTTTACCTGCTTTTGTGCCAAATTTCTGTAATTATATATCATGCTGATTTGTAGGTGCTTCTAGTAGACTGTCACACAATGCAAACAGTATCCTTGCTGAATGAGTGCGGTAAGAAAATTTCAAGGCAAGCCACTTAGACGGTGTATTGCTTACAGTAAAACCCTATTGATAAAGCTACGATTGTACTGATGTGCTGTACCATAAGCAAATATGTCAACATACATTTTTAATTTAAAAATACATTACTACATTTATGGTCAGATTTTGCACAAACAATCCCACTAACAAATATCTAAAAAAAAACAAAAAAACCCCAAAACTATAGATTTCATTTAATTTTCTATTTTTTTCTATTCAGCAAAGTTAAGCCATGTTCTGGCTTGTGGAGAATGTTGCGGCATTAAAAGGTGCTGCCTTTGCATCCATGCATCTGTGAAATGTTCTCCATTTATCTACCACCAACTAAAGACCATAAGAAATGAATAATTTAGGCAGACCAGAAGAAAAAAAATATATATACTGGTTCCGTTACCTTATCTCTCAAATGATGTTCTGCTGCTTCAATATTCAAAGGATCGTCAAAATTTAACAGATCCTGCAGGAACAAAGACAGATGTCACAAAAAAGATTTCACAAGAAGAGTGTACAGTACTGGACCATGAACACAATGAATCTAATTTAAGCAAAAGAAGCAGCCAGCACCTCTCTCCAAGGTTAGATTTTACACTAAAGTATTTTCTTAACCTAAAAGAAGTTCTTAACCTAAAAGAAGAAGGTTGTCAAGAGTCACCCATTACATTTCACTTTCAGTCATACAATAACAAGGTGTGAGAGAATGAACTGTTCTTCTGCATATTTTACCAATACATGCTAGCATATTGTATAACAAAGGCACAAAAAATACGTAACTTGCACTGCATTTAGTTTAAGCTTGTCACTTTAGAATGCCAAGCATCTGAATGCAAAAGATCCTTAAACCGCAATAAAATATAACAAACCATCTAATCAATTTTCTGTAAATAGTTAAAGCTGCTGGAAAACTATGATATATGTAAAGGAGAAACCTAACAATGCAGGTTTGCATGGCCACCCACAGGAGCACCAAAGGACACTTTGTGGCACCTAAAAATGCAGATGTGCATTAGAACCTTGCGGAGCTCCAGGAGCACTCTTCTTCTGTGGTTAAGTTCGTGTCAGATAAATTCAGTGTTTTGTTTACTGGCATTGCACACAATAGTTACTGTTATGTCCAATCAAAAGCCACAGCAGTAATTATTACATATGGGTGTGGTGGTTAATAAACGGTATATATATATATATATATATTGGAGAGTAGTCCAATTATATATTGCTAATGTTTTGGGAAAGGGTGTGTGTGAAATTAGATCCAGCCACATCGTTGCTGGCTCATAATTTTTAGAAGTTGCCTCAGATTTCAAAATAATTTATTAATAATAAATCAGAAATTAAAATATTATGCAAATGTCTGTTTTAGAAGGCATGCAATTTTCCTTCTCAACTCCACAAGGGCAGCAGGATCAGTTCCCTTGATACTTTTAGTGGCGGATATAAGTAAAATTGTCCAGTTTTTTTTTCTTTTCTTTATTTCACTATTTTCCCATTACTGCTTAATCTCTCCTACCATAAGGAATAATTCAAAAACTCATGTTAAAACCTCTTTTCTCCATAAGCATCTCATTCTCCCATGTCCTTTGGTCTCATTTGTGAAATTATTATATTGGCCTTAGGTAAACTTATATGTCGGTGCTAAGAAATATTTATTTAAAACTTTGTGAGATTAAAGTAAAACATGTTTTACCCCTTCCCAATCCTGCTGTAGGGACTTACCTAAAAAAAAAATGATGTTTCCAGCAGTCCCTTGAGCACTGGTGCCAGTCTCTGATCCAGCACTGACCGTTGTGTCCCACGGAGTCTGTCCAGCGTGCACGCTCACGGCTGTGTGCATTGACTTCTATTGAGTCTCTCCTCTGCTCCCCACTGATGATCTCCACACTGCATGCGCCTGCCCAGATCTTCCTGCACAGTGGTTCAGGGAAACTGAATGCTGCAGATGGGAGCGAGCTGCGGTGACAGGCAAGTATTTACTCTTTGGTAACTTTTTTATTAAAATGTGTTTGCATATATCTACTGCTTGCTAGCAGTGGGTATATGGTAAAAAAAAAAGACTTTAATTCTACAGATTCAAGCCTTTCAGTATAACTTTGATTTGCAATCCCTTTTATCTGTTAGAGCTTATACGGTATTAGTTTCACCTTTTAAGTTGCATTAGTGAAATAAATGAACTTTGCACGATATTCTAATTATTCGAGTTTCACCTGTATGGAGCAAATTTTGCCCGGTTCCTGAGGGTAGCTATACAAGTTTAGCAAACCCAAATTTTCGGTAACAAATATCTTTAAATTAATTATAGTTGACTTATTTACAATATAATTAACAATTTTTTTTAAATATAAAAGATGAGATTGCGCAGAATAAAATGATTCCAAGCTTTCAAATTGTGTGTGCCGGTAAAATGGCAAACTACAGTACCCAAAATTGTCCATAGGTGACATTTTAAAAGCCTTTACAGGCCATCAGTTTAGAGTTAACAGTGAATAATGGCCCTGGAGTTTTTGCTCCAACTCTGGTGTGGATGACAATACTCAACATTTGTGGTGCACATATTCTTGCATGTAGGTGCACCCGACAAATGTTTGCATTCGTATGTGCATGTACGTGGCGGCGGAAGAATTACAACAAATTTTTAATTGAACTATACATGCGGCTCCGGAGCCGCAGGTTGCTGACCCCTGACTTAGACGGAGCCTACCTTCAGGCCCAGAACGTTTATTTAAAAGTGAATGGTTGGCTGTTTGCTGGACTGCAGAGGCTGAACATGGGAGTAGAGAGACAGAAGCTTCTCTGGACAAGGAGCTGTCCAAGACCAGGCCTAGGTATTCTAAGTGATGGGAAGGTTCCAGTGCAGATTTCTGCATGTTCAGGAGGCATTCAAAGCTCTACAGGATCTGTATTTTCTGCTGAATGTTGGACAATAGGACTGATGTTGACTCTCTAGGGAGCAGGTCATCTTAGTACTCCACTATGGGGTTCCCCTGGGAGGGCAGCATGCCCAAGACAGGGGCCAGCACTTGGCTGAACATGCTGGGAGCTGTGAACAGACCAATGGGAAAAACATCAAACTAAAAATGCTGGGTGCCCTCAGCAAAAAGCGGGGTAGCAATGGTGAGCAGGATGGGGATATGTAAATACGCATCTTTGATGTTCACTGAGAATAAGAAATCTCCCAGGTGAAGGAAGGAAAAAACAGAGCTGGTGAATTCCATTCGGAACTTTTGGACTTGCAGAACAGGTTGAAGATCTTCAGGTCTAAGACCTTTTCCCCCTTGGCCTTAGGGACAGGAAACATTTCTGTCACCCAGAGAGGAACTTTGACGTCCTAAGAGAGGAGCGGACTTATGGCAGCAAAGAGATCGGCCAGTCTTTGAAGAGATTTGGGCATATCGGACAAGAGAAAATGGGAAGGAGGCAGGGAAAAAACTCTTGGTATTGACACTCTAAACCCAGGCATTGAAAATGTCCCAGTCTTAACCATAATAGTGACCTTGGGGTGATGCTGTGCAGGTGAAGCAATGGCTAGGTATAGGTATGGGTTGCAGTAGTCAAAGCCTCCTAACAGGAAACTTCAGAGTCTGAGAAGGTACATACCTCTACTTCACACCTTCCTCCTATTGGCCAACTATAAGGTGGTAACCATAGCTGCATCCAAAACAGATTCGGAAGAGGAAAGAGAACGGGGACTACGTTTGCATCCACTGCAGCAGATGCTTCAAACACAGCATATACCCCCATGTCCATTATCTTTAGTATTGCTGATCATCCCTTATCTATTTGTGTTTGAATTCTGCCATGGTGAAGGGCTCCAAATGGATACACAATATACTGACACCAAAGGGTTAAAGGGGGTCCCCGTCTCTGGTCCTTGTTGTACCTGAAAATTATTATGATAGTACTGTTGCAGATAGAGTTGAATGCCTACAAGATAAGTGTGCTTCCTCCAAGTGCCAAGATGGCCTCTGTTAGTCCCAAATCACCTGTTTCTGTAAAGAATGTACCCCAAAATGGCTGCTGTACCAGCCTCCTCCAACAGTTTTTGTTGTTGTGTTTAGGTATGCTTTAGGGCCTTCTATTTCAGTTCCCAATTATTGATAAAATGCCAAATTGGCAGCAATACTGTTATTTAACATTACATTTTTAATAGAAAATGGCATTAAAGTCCCACCTGAAAAACTATGCTGGCAACCCAGTCCTATATTTTCATAAATGTGCTGGAAATTGAAAAACAGACACACAAAACAGAACCCTCTATCATTTCCTTTGGTTATATTCCTTTAAATCATATTTTTCGCATATAATATGGCTTTGATATTGTCCTCCCCAGCCAGTATGCCTTATCAGCAGAAACATTAGGACAAGTAAAACCACAAAGCATTTACTGCCATCGGTTATCAAAATTTAAATCATAAGAGCCAAACTATTATCATATTATATCTGTACTTACTGTAAACAAGGAGTTCAATCCCCATACAACATCCTGAAAATAAAATAAAAGAGAAATATTAAGCACCAGAAAGATGTCAGCAATAGATTGTTAAGTCATTTATTTGCTAGTAACATGATTTGCTTATCAGAAAGAGAGCCCCAGGATAGAGAAATGGGTCAAAGGTAGAGGAGAACATCATGTGCTAAAACTCTTGGGCTTTGGGAAAAGCTACAATGAAATACTACAAATTAAAACCTTTAAAAAAGACTTAGGGAAACAAATGATTATTATCAGCTGTTACAGATAAAACACAGGCTAATGGTCACTATGACAAGGGCACCTAACCTTGAGGGGACAGCAATAAAATACAGGGCTTTTTGCTGAAGTGACAAAACCAGATGGCTGAATTAGACACAAGTTTGTCATCTGTCAGTGTTGATAGTGACCCCATTAGAGAAGTTTTGAAACCCATGGTACAAAAAGAAACACAGCACAGTGGCGTAGTGGTTAGCGCTTCTGCCTTGCAGCACCAGGGTCCCTGGTTCTAATCCCAGCCATATCTACAAGGAGTTTGCATGTTCTCCTTTTGCTTGTGTGGTGTTCCTCCGGTTTTCCACACTCAGAAGACATGCAGGTAGGTTATTTGGCTCTTGTCTATATTAGCCCTCTATGTATGCATGTGAGATAGGGACCTTAGATTGTAAGCACCTTCAGGCAGAGACTGCTGTGAATGTACACTATGTAAAGCGCTGCATAAATTCTTGGCGCTATATAAATAAATCAAACTGGCACACATGGTGTTTGTTAAGGGAGCTCTCTTCCCATGAACACACAACCCTCACATGTAATAATCGAGCGATAATAACAGGTCCAACATTCTATGTTCTGGCAAGAGCACGGCCACTAACGGTTCAGAAACTTGATGGATCATTATACACTCTAATGCTAAGAATAGGAAATACTGTATTCTACGCCTGTATCTTTTATGATTTGCTTCTATTTGTCTTTGGTAGAAATATTAATTGATAATTGTTTTTTTTCTGTAAGACTTCCAGTTGCTCTTTTTAAAACCATTTGCATGAACTTGGAAGCAACATGAGTTTGTTTATTTATTGGCATTTACCAAATTGTAAGCACATAAGCTCTGCAGTACAAATGACTGGCTGCTTGTGTTACTCATTTCTCTCCTAGTCTGAGCCCTACTGTGCAGGGAACTGCCACATGTACTAGAAACTAAAGAGTATTAACTAAAATAAAATATATAAAACAATACATAAACGGTTTTATTATATTTAACGGTTAATTATATTTCCTTTATGTTCTTTAAGGCAGCTCTGCTGTACTCCATCCTTGACCGCATAACTCACAAAGCACATCCAAACAGGGCATCCAAGAAAAACAATTGAGACAATGAGACAGGAAAAAAAAAAAGGATTGTGATATTTCTATTAAATAAAGGAAACACAAGCAACAAATTGAAAGTAACACTGCATCTAAACTAACCATATCTAGCAAAATGTTCACAGCCTTGGAAAAAAGGTACAGGAACCTTAGCTGAACAGCTAAGAATGTTCACCTCACCAAGGACAGGACCAAGAAAGATCTTGGCTGTAGATCAGTCACAGCAGAAGGACCTAACTTTATCAGGTTTCATGAAGGCCAGGGAATCCCTGTGGCAGGATTCCAGTGTCTGCTGAAAAAGCAGGGCGACAAACGGTCCTCCAGAGATGGTTTCTTACTACCATGCAGGAGATGAGGAGCAACCAGAAGAGCAAACTTCTCTCTAAAGAACAAAGATGAAGATTGAAGAGGGCCTGAAGGCAACAGTGTCTTTAAGAAAAACTGCTATGGAGAAAAGCAATCTCATCAAAATGCGGCATAGGGACCAGGCCACTCACAGTGTCAGAGAGAGAGAATTCTCCAACCCTTCCATATGTGAAGGTCTCAACTCTAACATGGTCCAGGTCTTGGATAAATCTCACCGCAGGATCCTTAAAAAAAAAAAAAAAAGGGGATCATGTGCAATGGGTAACTTGACATCAAACCCAGGGACAAGGACAAATGGAGTCCTTGCAGGAAAGGGGAATGAAGCAACTCTGTTAACCTTAAGAAACTGAGGGCTCACACCAAGGAGTTCTTGGTCCATAGCGGCCATCTGTACACCTTGCATCAAATCTAGACTCCCAGGTACCAAGTGGGAGGCTGAAGAAGCCCAAGAGCCAACAAGAGAAGGAGACGTGATGTTAGGGAAATACCTTAACACCCTACAAGTCCCTAAACGTGAATAAAGAGGAATTTCCCTGTCAAGAAAGGAACCACTGACCCACAAGGTGTAGACTTCTTCAGCGAGCAGTTAAGCTGAACAGCCTCACCACTGGCAACCAACAATGGGGGAATAACTCCCAAAGGCAAATCCCCACTAGAACAGTAACAAGGGATCTTGGCAAACCCAGGAAACCTGGGTTAACACAACCATGTGCACTGGAATCATGGGGAGGGGCAACTGTGAGAGATGCCTTATCCAAGAGGTAAGCCTGTGGGCTAAAAGAGGTATTTTTGTATATCCACAATACCCAGTGACACATTCAGATGTACACACAGCCCCTACTTATAAAAGGAGGGGGCGCATCTTTATGCAGAAGGGTTAACAGGGTCTTTCGAGGGACAAACAAATCAGTTGTTCCTTGGACATCTCATCAGCATCCCACATGCGTAGCCAGAGTGTCCTACTCATTTGAATTTTTTTTATCCTTTAATGTCACTTTAATGCAAACTAAAATCTAAGGAGATAATTGAACTTCCTTTTAGTAAAGTCCTGAAAGGTGAGGACACCTTTGACACCACGTGGTATCTCTGCTAATGTGGATCACTAATCCATCCACAGTGGATACAGACCACCTATTTCCAAATCACTTCTCAAAGGGGAAATATTTTGGAACCCTCTCAGGTTAACCCTCCAGATGCAAGGTAATGCAAACTGTATCTTTAAGCTTTGAAACAACCCCCTGTTTATCAGAGTCAACTGCAGGAGACTGTGGTGACACATAAACAGCCTCTCTATACAGAACAGTTTGGTTTTAGAATCAGAGACTCTCCTAAAGTTGGAGCCGGAGCTAACGTAGCGCCCCTGTTGGCAGAATGTATCAGTAACTGGTCCCAAACAGCTAAAAAATCCTGAGTGGGCTAGGAGGTCCCTGAGGACATGGGGATGCCTCGGCCCTGCTTAACATAAGTGAGGCAGACTACGCTAATGACAGCCCTAAAACAACCGGGGTAACAGGTTCAAGATTACAGGCATTGGTTCCATCTGGGGATAGGAGTAGACATCCTCTGAATCACTATGTGATGAGGACACCTGTGGCAGGAGGTCTGTCTTCTGTGTGTTTTGGAGAAGACATTGTGCCAAGTGACAATAAGCAACTAGGCCCAATGTCAGACAAGGCCTCAAGTACTTGTGAACCAAGGGTGTTCATGCTGATGCGAGTTTTAGGTGGCTGGTGGTGAAAAGGTAATTGTAGGCAGGCAGTGGATGAGATAAACAGGGGCTGGCTTACCATGTTTTTTGTTTGCTGGTGTCTCACTCAACTAAAAGTCGCAGTATAATCCAAATGTTTCGAAATATCTGTGTCCCTCAAAGGACAATGGAAAAAAAAATTATAAATGAAAAAGTAAACTAATTTGCACAGTGGGAAAAAGTATTCTTGATCAGGAGCTTACTTGACTTACTGTGCATAAGAGCTGTTTTACTTGTATTTACCCCTATGTTGATAGGCTTTGAAATGCTTCTGAGATTACTCAGAATTCACCTGTGAAATTGACCTGCAGTTGACCCTCCCTCCTGGCCTGCTTCAGGCAGGTTTGTATGGACATGCTAAACACATCTGAAGTGAACAAAAGCCCATCGACAAAGGCCTCAAGTCAAATGCAGGTACTTTCACAGCTTGCCATTAAAAAAACACATTTAATGATGCATTAATGAATACACAGCTGCAATCATGTGCGAATGTAATAGTTTCCTGAAGTTCAATTTTAAGAATGCTATAGCCCACTTCAATCCTTAATAAGGAAAAACATTCCATATTATACCCTACCTTACTACAAAGCATATTCTTTCATTGTAGAACTTAAGGTCAAAGGAAGCTATTATATATATCAAATTTTCCCCACAAAGCATATGGTATATACAGAAAAACAAAGCTGGCCAACAGCAAAATGGCTCATGCATTCAACTGTTTAATATTCCGTTTCAGATTCGAGTGGTACGCAATTAGAATCATGTTATGTGGTAACTCCAGTCTTCTTTTTTGAACATGCCCGATGCAAACTAATCCACATCATGACACTTGTCTGTGAAGGTTATATAGATGATGGTATACGTAATATTAGTCAGTAATGTTCAGCTGAACTTGTTCTGTAATTTGTTTCTTTAGTTCTAACAAGTGTCAGGATAACCCAGCATCTATCATACCACTTCAATAGTTACATATTTTTGCAGATTTACCACTAGACATTTATAGCAATCTCTTTATCCTCCAACAACACTAGCACACAAAGAAATATGTTAAGGTACATAAATTAGGTGATACATTTTATATATATATACATACATACATACATATAAACACACACACACACTATATTGCCAAAAATATTGGGACGCCTGCCTTTACACCCACATGAACTCTTATGGCATCCCAGTCTTAGTTTGTAGGGTTTAATATTGAGTTGGCCCACCCTTTGCTGCTATAACAGCTTCAACTCTTCTGGGAAGGCTGTCCACAAGGTTTAGGAAGGTGTCTATGTGAATGTTTGACCATTCTTCCAGAAGTGCGATTGTGAGGTCAGGTACTGATGTTGGACGAGAAAGCCTGGCTCGCAGTCTCCGCTCTAATTCATCCCAAAGGTATTCTATCGGGTTCAGGTCAGGACTTTGTACAGGCCAGTCAAGTTCCTCCACCCCAAATTCGCTCATCCATGTCTTTATGTACCTTGCTTTGTGCACTGGTGCGCAGTCATGGTGGAACCGGAAGGGGCCATCCCCAAAGTTGGGA